ATGTTTGTGTGTGTATATGTATCTGCGTATATATTGCAATGATGGTGTCTCGCACGTATCATTTGAATAATGAGAATGTTTAAGTAGCTTCGCTCGAGTGGCTGTCACGTTGTCATGATGCTGTACTGCTTTGTAGCTCGCATGGCATAGAATAGTCTGTATCTTTTATTCTGTATAGGATTGCTGTATCTAGAATAGATCGCACAGTTGGCTTCTCGTGTGGCACAAAACGTGATCCCAATTCTTCGGGCGTAACTTCCGCTATCGCCAACGTTTATACCTTCAATAACATAACACACGATTGAACTTCTTCAGTCGCGTACAAGCACTGGATAGCACAACTACTCACACTTCCTGTATTAGTGTGACATTCCAAATATAGCTGGATTTCTCGTGCTTGGTGTTTTGATGTGCCCAACTGATTAGACATTACACAGGTCGTATCACCCTCAGAGTATGTATCATCGCAGTTCATCTGCAGAGTGCAATTGCGTTTCCCGGTGGTTTGTCTATCTGTATTCTTACCTACCTCCATCCCTCGCTTGTGTAGATATCCTCAAAGCGGATCTTTTGTGCGGGAGAAAAATATACTGTTCGGTATATCATTGATGGAAGCCATCGAAGCAAAGTACGTGGACACCTCTGGGGGCCTTATCACCAGCACGCACGCCGATAAACAAGGTATAGCCATACACAATGCATCCATGATAAGTATATGTATGCGATTGCGAGCGTGGTCTACAAATGCAGTTACATTTGTCTATGTAGGCATGCCGTTAAAAACGTATTCCTCAGGGTTGTTCTCCATCTGTGTACGTTTGTTGCGGTCACGAGCTGCATGTGTTGGTATGGCGGTCCCGTGCATAGACCTGTATGTCGTCAGTCACGTGCGGATATGGTCCTTAATGTTGGATAGGTGATCGATCGCATTGAGTCTTCAGTATCAAAGCGTACTTAACGGATGCTTGCAAATGCTTTCTTTCACCCGAGGTAAGTCCTTGGAGTGGTGAGAGTGACGTATTTATTGCTCGAGAATTAGACTCGTGTGTTGTAGGCATCGTTGTGAGTCGGCTGAGAGGGAAACAGCTCGTTCTCACAGTAGTTCAAGTGAGCCGCATGTACACGTGGCCCACATCTATAACGAAGATTCCGGTGAGCGTTCAGCCTGGTTTAGATTCGAGTTCTGTTTCTAGTTCTGCGACGATGTTTGGCTGAGCTTGATGTTTGTCATACGAAAGATTTTGTATGTCAAAATAGCAAGTGTCGTTTGTATGTCAAATATGCTGTACGGATTGTTTTGTATGGCAAATACTTCTAGATATCGTATCTAAGTTATAGCGAATGCGGTATTGAAGTCGTTCTTGGCCTTCCCATAATCAATTGCTTGTGTACGGTGCGAATGCAGCCCATGCCGATAGGCATATATATTATCATATATATTGTCATATATTTTGTCAAATATATATTATCTCGGGTGATATTTCTCAGTTTCCGTGCCGGAATCCGTTAGGGGTTGAAGTTGTATTTTTTCAAATATACACTTTTTGTGGCTCCACCGATCCCAAATAATTTTAGTGTTCAGATTTCAGTTCACAATTCAAAAGCTGTCAGACGAGATGTTGAGGGATTGTTATACCACATATTGTATTCGATCTCTCTCACACACATTGAATTCCTATGCGCGTGTTTCCAGAGATACTCGTGGGCAGTGGTAAGGTGACGGTGGAGTTTGTTGGCGCAGCAGACATCGCAAACGCACAGAAGCAGTTGAATCGACTCCCTACCTTAGGCTTACGGGACACACTAGTCTCACACATGTGCAACGGAACAGCCCAAGACAACGCTTTAGAAAGTGCGGTACCAAATGTGACCGAGCTCGACCTGTCGCACACGTTGGTGCACACGTGGCGGGACGTTGCCATGGCAACGGGCCAGCTGAAGAAGCTACACTCACTGTTTTTGAGCCAGAATCGATTCGATCCACTCTATGTGTCTCGTGAGCCGAGAAATCCGCAAAGGAAGCGCCTATGTGGTACCGAAGAGGAGAGCGAGTTGGTAGGACTCAGGACTATACAATGTCTATTTATGAACAAGTGTATAGATTTTAGAGTCGGTGATGTATTGTATGCCCAACGGTTCATGCCGAATCTGACCGAGTTGCATCTGGTGGGGAACGGGGTCACGGTGATAGGCACAGAGCACCCACCCACAGCTGCCGAGGAGGACGCTACAGCCTCGTCACAAGCACACGACAGGAATCACGCACAACACCATGATGGCCACGACAGTGCAAGTATGACCGACACACACACACAGACGCATACACACACACATGCACATACATATTCAAAGACACATACACATATAGACCCACGGACACTAGCCGACCAAGGTCCGCGCAGTGCACAGAATGCCTGTATAGTAGATAGGATGGATACCAACACAAACGCCGACAACGGACGAGTCTCCAGCATACCTCTATGTAAGCTAGCACCTTACTTCCCATCTCTCAAGTTCCTGAACTTGGAGCTCAACCGCATATCGGACTTCCAAACGCTCACGGAGGGTCTGTCTCACCTGCCCCACTTGCACACGCTTGTCCTTGGCGGAAACCCCTTCCCAAGCCTTAATTACACCAAGGGCTTTGAGGCTCTGGAGTGTATGTCTCTGCTAGATTGTTGTATTACGTCGTACGAATCCATCAGTGAGTTGGACAGGTTTCCAAACCTGTCCGAACTTCGGATTTCTGGCCCACTGGATGGGACCGGTACGCAATCACAGTGCAAGGTGCACCCAGAACCTGGAACAAGGGCCGAAACGCACCCAAAATATGTAGACATGGATTCAGCGCATGCCTCACAGAGCACACACACGTACGCTAAAGTTTCTTCCAAGATCAATAAGGATGATAGTGAACGTGGCAGCTATCTACCTACAGCCAATGATCGTTTTCCGATCATTGCCCGGATGAGCAGGCTGACCATGCTCAACAGAAGTGCCGTGAGCGCTAAGGAGCGCGAGGAGGCGGAGATGGACTATGTGAAGGTCCATGCCGAGGATTTTGAAGGTATTGTGCGGATGTTTGTTATCGGTAGACGGTGCGTGTGCATGGTATACCTGTACGTATGTAAATACATCTTTTCTGGGCAGACACGCGTCTGTGTGTATGGCTATGCGCGTGCAAGCTGACGATAAAATGAACGTGCGATGAGTGCGCGGCGATGAACTATATGACTCTATTCCGAGGATTTCAATGGTATGGCGTTAGTTTTTCGATTTTGATAATATTGTGTCTGTGCAGTTGTAGGTGTTTGATAATTTCTTCTTCTAAGTGTAAGAAAACTAACGCGTATCAGACAGCTTCTCCGCTCGCGCCTTGTACTTGGCCTGTCGGTGGACTTTGTTTCCAGTCTGTGTGTACGCCTATGCATTGTGATTCTAATGTGTGGTAGAGCCATTGGGGAAAGTAGAGTGACTCATCGAAACGTATAGTCGCTCTAACAATAGATGTGTGCACTAGTATAGCGGCTGTCATTGTTTGTCAGACTACGCAGAGTTCACTTCCGCTGGAGCGCTAGGTATGAATCAAAACTCGGGGATCCGCAAAAACATGGATTGGACCAGGGTAACGGTCTAATGGGTCTAATGTGTGTGCGCGTGTGTTTGTGTGTGTGTGGTGGGGGGGTCTGTTGGAGCGCGTGAGCAGTATTTGCACATAAACATACAATAGTATACATATCAAGTAATAGTTTTGGCAAGTTTATATATTTATTTCCTGACTTTTGTACTTCATGTCACAATGAGGAGTTGCTTAGCAGATTGTATTTTGAGCACACTCGAGATACGTCTCATTCATGCGCACATACGCTCGACAATACAGAAACAGTCATAGATACACAGGCATGTTATAACTGTCGTGTACTGGGCTGTAGCGTTCGTTCCATGCATCTAAGCCAGCTGCTCGATAAGCTTAGCTTGTTCCTGAAGTGATTCCTTTAAGACACGTTCACTGCGAAGTTCCAGCCGAAGTGCATTGGCCATGCGCACAAGTGCAGTAGGCCACATACACACACAAACACACACAAACACACTGCGTAGCGATTCACAGACATCTCAACAATTTGGATATCTCACAACGTTACTCTGTTCGTACGCTTGTCACTGTGTTGACTCTAGCGGCTCACCGTGCGGGGTCTGACAGCGATTTGTACCGAACTTTCAGTGAGAGCCACCCGAGATACGTCTGTCTCATGCGCACACACGGGAGCTTCGTCCCGCCACCCACCGCACACTCACTCAATCACCGCGAACGACTCAAGCTGACTGTCAAAATCGTCGATACAGGCCAAGGAGGGATCCATCAATTGCCTTGTAAGTGAATATATAGGCGTAGATACGTGTAGAAATTTTGTCTTCAGTGTTTTAGGGTTTTTCGTATGTGATTACCCCAAGAAGTTCGCCGTTGGTGATGGAGGATGGGTGATGAGTCAGCATAATCTCTCAATCACAGCGAGACAATCGAGCTCATTGTCAAAGCCGTGAATACGAATGAAGGAGAGGTCTACCAGCTGGTTTGTGGGTGTATGTATACGACTGTACCTGTGTAGTTTTGTGTGTGCATAGTACTTTTGTGTGTGTTGCAACACTCCCTATGCGCATACGTCGCTTCGTATGCAAGCCTTTGCGCGTGTGTGGTGTTACCTCCACAGAGTTGTGTTCAACCGATCGTGGGCACTCTGCGAGTGCATTGCCTCAATCAGCGCCAGCAAGTCACAAGGAGAACCGCCACAGCTGCCTTGTACGCAGGTGTGGATGATTGGTTTTGTCCGTCTCCGTGGATGATTGGTTTTTTCCGTCTCCGTTGTGCAAGTGTACTACCATAAGTGGAACACAAGGATTGTGGTTACCTGTTAGCGAGCGCTGTCTACAATCGCAAGCGCCACAGCATCACAATGAGTATTGTGGATAAGGCGCAAGTGGGGACACACCAGCTATCATTACGTTGGTTAGAATCTGAGTGCATGTAGTACATGAAGTATACAGGTGGTCCGTACGTATACTTGTACATATTCATGTGAGTCAGGCCCACTCACATACCAGAAAGACCTTAGAACCCTTTGTTCCTCTCGTCGCGCTGCACAATATCATTGAATACGTATCTCCACATCCATGCAGCAAATATGTCTGTGACCAAGCTGAAGACCTTCATACAAGCCAAGTATAAGGTGTCAACCTCACAACAACAGCTGATCAGCTTTGACGAGAAGGTAGTGTATCTCATACTATGCTTCTACATCTAAATTATGGTCGAATGTGACTCCTAACTAATATAAACTCAACGATTACGGTGCTAATGTACATACACACACACACACACACACACACACACACACACACACACACACACACACACACACACACACACACACACACACA